TGTCTCTGTCTGTCTGCCTCTCCAGCCATCCTGGTCTACAGAGTGTTTCACAATGAGCCGAAGAAGAACGTAAAGCTGCTTCACGGCATTATTCACCTGCTCGCTCTCATCATGAGTATTGTAGGTAAGGGAGCTACATTAGCCGGCGTCTGACTGCTGCAGATGTTTGTTTTTTTAAATAACCACGTGTGTGTCCGTCTGACATGTTGCTCTACGCGTGCGTGCAGGTTTTGTGGCTGTGTTTGACTTCCACCGGGCAGCCAAGATTCCTGACATGTACTCTCTACACAGCTGGTGCGGTATGACTACCCTGATCCTGTTCTGCTTACAGGTACACACACACAGACTGAATTTCTGCAGCAAATGTAACAGATTACAACACTAAACTTTTTATCCCTCCATTTTTGCCAGTGGGTGATGGGTTTGATGTTCTTCCTGTTTCCTGTTGCGTCGGCATGGTTACGAGCCTCATACTTGCCTGTCCACGTGTTCTGTGGCCTGGCTCTGCTGGTAATGTCCGTAGGGACCAGCCTGCTGGGCATCACGGAGACGCTCCTCTTCAACATCATGTATGTCTGTACTCGAGTATCTGCCCCCTCGTCTCCTCTTCATTTCATTAGTGATGTTCTTTAGGCATAAACCACAGACAGTATGACCTCACACGAGTGGCTTGGTGAAGGTCGTTGTGTTTTTGTCATTTCTTTTTGAAATCATTTCTTGCTTAAGTAACTAAATTTATTTGACTATTTCCACATTATTGTATATTCAGCACCAGTGGTTTCCCATTTGTCCCGGGAATATAACATAACATGGTTTTAATGGCTTCATATCAGATATTACGAGTCTGGTGCGTAAAGGCCTTTTTAGTTCGGGTCATCGCTGATTACAACTTGGATCTCAGAAGTCAGATGGCTCTGATAAAAAGAAATCCAGTATAATCCAGTACATCCGCACACTGCTCTTGTTGCCTACCATGGTGGACATGGTACAATCACCAGTTGCTAAGGAAAATGTGTAGTGGTTCCTGGAGGTTGTTAGCTGCATGAAATTGGTTGCAAAGAAGGCGCTACACCAAAGACCTCCTAGCAGGCTGCTGAGGTTGTGAGCAATTTTTAAAAATCGTTGTCTGTAAATACTTGCTAATGACATGCTAAGAGGTAGCAAAACTTTCAAAAATGCAAGTTTGTCATTTCCATTCAAACTACAAACACAGCAATATGATAGTGACCAAAGCAATCGGAAGAAGGTCATTGCCAATCGGAATATGTTTTTCCCTAGTGACATGTGGTTGCCAGGTTGATCACTGACCAGTCTGTAGGCCTGTGTGATCCTTAAGGAATCATTTCCCAGGAAACTCCACCAACCACTCGCAGTAAAGTTGGGGAGTACTACATTTTCCCTCACAACTGCTGGTTGAGAGATGGTCACTGAGTGACCTACATTCATTGATCCCACAAGTGCAGAATGTCAGACAAGTTAACATCACATGGTTAGTGGTCACATGTCTGCAAATCCTCAATAACCACCATCTGGTCCTGATTTATCTCAACTAACCTTCAATTTTACTATGCCCTTACCCACTTATGATCAGTGTTGGTCAAGTTACTTGAAAAAAGTAATCTGTAACTAATTACTGATTACTTCCCCAAAAAAGTAATCCCAT